CATCTGTGCCCCATATCCCTGTGACGTCGTCGTGGAAAAAATGGTTCGTGCACTGGCTGTCGTCGATGATGTCGGCCCCGGCGCTGATCTGGGCTGTCGGCTCAGATGGGTGGGGCGGCGGTCGAAAGATGGAGGTCGGAAGTAGGATTGGAGGTCGGGATCTAGAGGTGGAGGCGGAGGTTGGGCGTCGGAGTCGTTACCAATGTGCGTTGATGATGGCGTATACCTGTGTCGACATTGATCCGGCACTGGTCGAAGTAAAGAAAGGCACGACTGGTCGGTAGCTTTGCCCGCTCCTTCCAACTCCAAGAAATATGTATGTGATGTGGATGTCGCTGTAAATCTAGTCGCATCGGCAGCTCTGCCCGAAAACTCCATGCCCAAATGATCCATGCGAGCGATACTCTGCGGGCGGCTCTGGCACTGGCGGTAATCCCCGTTGTGGCCATAGAAAAGACCCAGTGCCTGCCGTCCGTCCTTTTGATGCCCATTTAGCCCCACCTTTCATTCCCACGGAGGCTCTCAATAGAATAGTGTCGCATTTCGTATTCAATTCCCTAAGTTTGGGGTGGTTCTGCAATTCCCCCCGGCTTTTCCAGTTGTCTCCCCAGCGCCTGTCGATGCACGCGCCCCCAACAGTTACCGCAAGAGCCAATTGCCCTCCAACTCGTGCCTCGTATGGGGACTCTTCGGATACTCTGATCGTGCATGGATTAAGTATGTCATTTTTTGAAGAGGTATTTCAGTCTCTGCGGGTTCTCTGTCCTGTGTTGCCCATGCGGATTTCTCCCCCCGCTGTAAGCCACCACTGCAGAATAAAGCGACCGCGGTGTCCCGGTCCAGCGCGGCGTCGAACTCAGCGAAGACTATGTTATGAAAATATATTTCTTTTCTTTCGGACTGCCGCTGGCCCTACCGGCCGCGTGAAAGGAAAATGTGCGCGGTTCCAGGGATTGCGTTCCTGCGATTACAGATGGGCGCGTGCCTGGGTCGAGGGACGTTTCTGCGACTACAGACGCACAAGAATACTGAATCAACCAGCTGGCAAAGAGGAGGAGGAGAAGGAGGGACAGGCAATCAACATGGACAAAAAATATGCTACAATCAATCACACAACTATGGCGAGATACGTGCAAAATGCACATGCGTCTAAAGCTAACGTCGCCGCTTCGAACGCAGACCGGATGTTCGTCACCACCTCCCCCTTCAGCGCTAGCTCCTCGTAGTGGACTTCGTGTCCGTCAACGCCCTGAGCCCCATAGATTGCATAGCCGATCCCCGCCAACCGGTGACTATCAGAATGCAGACCGCGAAGGCCTCCATCCACGCATATCTTAATAGCCCCACTGGAAACGCATTTGTGCAGTGCCTCCGGGCTCTCCCAGTGGAGATTTTGACGCGTGTCCATCGCTGCGTTCACGAGGTAGTCGGGCACTGTGTTCATGTCCCTGGGGGCCCAATTGACGTAGGAATCGATATCCCGTCTTGGATTCCACCCAGCCCGTTCCAACGCGAATAACTTGGCGCAGATCCTCCTGAACACCAACTCCAGTTCTGGAGCTCGTAATACCGAGTGCCCGTTGACGACGTCAGCTACCCCCAAGCAGTCGACCCGGATCCAGAGGCGCTTGCTCCACGAATCCCATTTGAGGTCCATAGGGTGGGGAGGCAATGTAGGTCTAATTCGAGGGCGAGGTCCGGCAGGAGCGCGAGGTAGCCAAGTAGACCTGGGCTCTGGATTCTCAACAGGAGGGGCACTTGCATAACGAGAACAAGCCCGTCGGATGAAGTCTGGCGCCCGTTGAAGCCATGATGCCCGAGTCCGGCTTTCGTCTCTCTGTCTACGCCAATCGACGCCCAAGATTTCGCACAATGGATCCTCCCATGCGGTTCGATGGCCGCTGCGCGCATGAAGGAGCCCTTCGGCCTTGCGCTTCTGGTAAGAACCAACCGATCGAAACGCTTCCCACCAAAGCTGGCTACGATACTCCCGGGTCGCTCTGAGAGGGTTCATTTCGAAGTCGAGGCCCGTAAATGTTTTTGGGGATCGGCCCGCGCATCGTGTTCAACTGATCCCAGATGTAGTCGCATGCGGCCATAACCGTCTCAAAATTATCCCACGTTCCCGTGCCCTGTGAAGCTCCAGAGTAAGATCTCGGAGTGCAGTTTTGCACATTGGTGAACTCCTTTTCCATCTTGTTCATGCGCTCGTTCATCATATTCTCCATGCTGGTCATGCGGATCTGCATGTCCTCGAACTGGGTCGTGAGCTCGCCGATGTTGGCCTTCAGCGGTTTCGTGGCGTGCTCCAAGTCCTTGCGCGAATTACCAGGTTGTTTAATAGCTGTAATGTCTTTTTGGAAAGGTCCCAATTCTTCTTTGATGAGCTTCCGGATGTCTCCGATGGTAGCTGCGCTCCCGCCTGGGTGTTGGACGACAGCGCTGTCTGGTGTCACTGTCAGTACCGGAGCGGGCCCGAGCGGGCCAGAGACAGGGAAAGAGAAAGAAAGAAAGAAACGGAGAGAGAGGGGGGAGAGAGGGAGGGAGAGAAAGAGAGAGAGAGAGAGAGAGATACGAGAATGGTGCTCATGCGCCGTACCATGCTTGGACTCCCTTCAAGGCTCGCCCCAGCGCGGTACGGTGCATAGTTCTCTGGCCCCAGAGCCCGACAAAACTACGCACCTACCATTCCAGGGTAGGAGATCGATTACGCCTCGGTGAGCGCTGACGCGTTACGGTGCATACAGGCCGTCAGAGATACAGAGAGCCAACCTTGGAAGCGGCCAGGTGGTCCGAGCCGGTTGGGCCCCGAGAGAATCCGCTGATCGGCATGTGTGAGACGCTGTCGTCGTCGTCGTCGTCGTCGTCGCAGGCACTCCCACGAAAAGAAGGGAAAAAGCAACGAACAAATAAGGAACGAACAAAAACATCCCATTCGTCGCAGTTAAGTAGGTCCCCTCCCATTTTCCCCTCCCTGACGGGAGGTTGGGGTAGGATGGGGGTAGGGGGGGAAAGGGTATGGGGAGGGGGTCTGGGTCAGATTACCGGCCCCCCGGGAGTCCTGGAATGTCCCGGGAGGGATCCTCCTGTGAACAAAGGGGACACCCCCATCCGGGCGGGGCGCCAACGGGGGTCCTAGGGGAGGTCCCGCCTGTGGTGGGGTGGTTGGGTCCCAAGTCAGAATGCCACCCTCACCCAGGATGATCCAAGCTTCAGGGTCGGCGGCACCGGCCGTAAGGCCTACACAATCGGTCAAGATGGGGGGATGAAGGCAAATCCGCGCTCAAAATCGGTCCCTGGACTCCTCCGGGGGTCCATCCAGTGCAATCTGTCATCCCCATTCAGTTTTTGGTGGTCCAGGGGCCCGAAAACGGCCCCCAGAGGAACCAGTGCTGGGCCACCTCAGACCCCCAGCCAACTCCGAAGAGAGCGGACCCCACATCGAGCCGCATCGCCGATGCCTCGACGATGCGGCGCGATTCTCCAACCCCATCTGCTCGGACCCGACCTAAGAGGCCTAGACCCAAGTCGTCCGCGGAATATTCTCCGTTCCCGCAACGCAACGCAGCCCAAACCCCAGGATTAGTGGTGCATACTAGAAGGCCCAGACAGGCAGGCGAACAACAACGGAGCGCCACGCGTGGACATCAGCAGCAAGAGCAGGGAGAAACAACATTCGGCAACAGGGGTTCATGACATAAACGTGAAAACCCAAAGCTCCGCGCGGATTCCTCGGATCGGCGCTGGGGCCTCCTGGCGACGCCTCCGGCGCCGGCCCTGGCGCGCTCCGCGCGCCAGGGTCAGGATCCAGCGTCGATCCGGTAAATACGCAGGCACCTCCGAGTTCTTATAATGATGCCGTTGTTTTTGTTCCCCTAGGCAAGGAAGAAAGAGGAATGGAGAGAAAGAGGGAGAAAGAAAGGACCGGTGTTTCTGGGCGCTTCGTGTTCTGTCTACGCCCTGCGTCAGGGAACCTCGAGCCGAGACAGAAGAGATCAGAAGAGAGAGATAGAGTCTGACTCGGGGACGCACTGACTCGGGTCAGTCGGGCTTCGCAGGACCCTGCGAGATCTTGCAGGATCCTGCAGCATCCTGCGCGGCAGCCTGGGCCAGTGCACGCACACCCCTGGCTCTACAGGATCTGGCAAGATTCGGCGTTCTGGCTGACCCCTGCCTGCCTTGCCTTGACCCCCGTCGCAAGGCTCCCGAGAGAGAGCGAGAGAGAGAGAGAGAGAGAGCGGACCGTCGGCGACCTCGGCAATGCATCGGCGACGCTGGCGCGTAGAAAATCGGGCTCCGCATCGGCGATGCGGCGCGATCCTCCGACCCCAACGCTTCCGATCCCCATCTGCCGGCTGCACGCAAACGAGTGACCCTGAGCACGAGTGACCCGTGGTGCACGGCTTCCGGGGAGGCGCGGGGATCCAGACCAAGCGCGCAGGCCGCTGCTGTCGCACCTCACTCCACGATCGGGGAGCCCCAACGGGCCCACTCTTACGTGTGATCAAATCTGGAAGGCCCAGAGAGAAAGAGAGAGAGAGAGAGAGAACGAGCGATAGAGAGACCAAACCGGTTTTTGGACGCCCGATATGGGTACGGAAGAATGTCCAACAGCAAGTTGCTGTCCAAGACCGACAGCGGCCGCTGTTGAGCAGGCGGCCTTCTGCCTCAGATGGACACGTCCGCGGCGACACGGACAACGAACCCTGTTCAAAATGAACAGGACTTGCTGTTGTAGAGGGAAAGGAAAACGCCCTACATATATACTTTTGGCGCTCCGCGCGGATTTCTTGGATCTGCGCACTGCAACATCGCAAACATCACCACCAGAGCCCCGGACGCCATCCTTCTGCCTCACTTCTCGAGCCGGATCGACCTGTGAAGGGAAGGCCCCGTGGCCCGAGGTCGAGCGCAGACGCACGGCGTGACAAGATTGCAGCGCCGGGATCTCAGGGCATTGCGATCGTGCCGACGGTGGCGGCCCAACGACGGCCTCCCGCCCCTCGGGGCCCGGCACCCCCAGACTGTACCAGTGCCCGCCAGCGGCCCGAGAGAGAGAGAGAGAGAGAGCGAGCGAGCGCCGCAGCCGCGGAGGCGCGGGCGGCGGCGCCGGGCCTCGGGTTATGTTGCTCCCGTCGCACTTGAGGACCACATCCTCCTCCTCCTCCTCCTCCTCCTCCTCCGCCTCCTCCGCCCTCCTCCGCCTCCTCTGCCCTCCTCCTCCTCCTCCTCCGCCCTCCTCCGCCCTCCTGCGCCCTGCTCCGCCCTCCTCCTCATCCTCCTCCATCCTCCTCCTCCTTCTCCTCCCTCCTCCGCCCTCCTCCTCATCCCAGAAATGATTTCAAGCACCCCGAAGAGTATCGTAGCACTGTCTGCCCGACAAGCCTGGCGAGGTACCGAACGATAGTATCGCCTCCCAGGGCCCGACATGTGGGAAAACCCTCCAATATTTGTCGTGGTGCTCGAAACTCTTCCTGGTGGTCAAGGCTGGAACAGCATAAGCCTCGGGGAGGCGCTCCGACAAAGCCCGGCGGGAGGCGGCCCACCAAACGGCCCCGCCGCTCAGATGACGAGCGTCTCGGCGCGCTGCTCCTCCACCTGGAGCGACGACAAGAAAGGGGTCTCACGCCGAGGTGACAAAAATAGCGACCTCACACGGTGGCCGAGGCGGGCCGCCAGCGCGGCACGCTGCGCTGGAACACGAGGGCGCTTGCGCGCGACCTTACGAGGGCAACTGACGCGCCGGCGTCGGCGAAGACGACCCCGCTGTTTTCCGCCGCTCCTCTGGAGCGGCACAGATCCCCCCGGGCCACGAGGAAATCACGACGGCGGGAGGCAACTCCTGAAAGGTCTTCGCTGGAACGATTGAGGGCGATGCGGCCCGATGAGAGGGGCACTTCGCCCGATAAGGCCAGATTAAGCCCGGGACTGGGCCAGAGGAAGCTGGATTCGATGCAACTGCGCCGGATGACGAGCGCCTCGGCGCGCTTTTCCTCCATCTAGAGAATCCCAGACCCCCTCGAGTCTTGGGGGACGAAAGGGTAGGATAGCAAAGGGTAGGGTAGAGAATGAGCTCACGTATAGCTGGCTTTCCTGTCCTGGCACCGGGAGACGCCCATGTGTCAAGGTATGGCCCCGGCGGCGGGGTGGAAACCAGCTGGATGCAGCAGACTTCGTTCCACCCCTTGGCCGTTATCCTTCCGAATCGTCTGGCCCGAGAGCCATGATGAAATCACGACAGAATGTTTTTCGCTGTGCTCGGCCTCCTGGAGGGCCCCTTCCCGGGCCTCGGGGCCGTCAGAACACGACTCGGGGGATGGAAAACCGGTCCTGGGGAACGGGTCGAGACCTCTGAGGGTCGACGCTATGAAAAGACATGACGTCGGGGGCCTTCGGGGAGCTACTGAGCCGGGTCAATGCAGATCCAGGTCAATCGGGTCGTGCAGGATCCTGCAAGATCCCTCCCCGTAGAAGGTATGAGACTCAAGTGGTAGATGGATGGACGATCAACCACACTGTTGACTGATGCTAGAGCTAAGCAGCTGAAGCAGACATTATTTTCCACTGCCAGCGGAGATGGAGCCTGAACAATTTGAACTCTCCTCTGCTGCGGCCGCGGCTCCGCACACCCTAACCCGGTTCAATGCGCCCCTGGCTCTGCGGCATCCTGCAAGAGCCGGCGCTCTGATGGACCCCCGTTTGCATCGATTTTCGGCCCCGAGGTCTGGGGTCGCCGGCGCGCCCGGGGGGGGGGGGAAGCGAGAGGGAGCAGGCCTTCTCAGAGGGCGGCGGGGCCTCTCAGAAGTGAGGGGCAACGATAGGCTGGCAAAGGGGAGGATGCATCGACCTGGAATCGGCGATACTTCGCGGATAGAACGGCAATAGGCCTCCGATCGTGAATCGCACCTTCCTGGGCAGGTTGGGGCTATTAGACCCACATCGGCGACCAGTGGGCGATTAGGGGTCGATGCATCCCCCCCTATCGTTGCCCCTAACAAAGCCCCCCTGGACTTCTGAGAAGTCTGCGGTGTCTTCGGGGAAGGCTTAGAAAACCTACCAGAAGGCCAGAGGCTTTGGCGGGCCTTCTGAAAGGCCTGCCCCCTCTTATTTTTCCCCTAGGCTCGCCGCCGATGTGGAAGAAGCAGCGGCATAAGCATGAACTCCCAGAGCTTCGCGCGGATCTCTTCGATCGGCGCTGAAGCCCCCCTGGCGGAGTTTTGGACACCCTTCCCCAGAAATCAGAGGCGCAGTGGATATGAATAAGAATCTGGCCCTTAGAGGCTAGACTGCTATCCATATCCACTGCGCGTCGGCCTTTGTGCGCCCCTTCCAAAAACATCCAAGACGCCATGCATACAAATCTTGCCCGCACCCGGCGCGCTACGCGCGTCGAGAGGGGGCTTTAGCGCCGATGCAAGAGATCCGCGCGGGACCCAAAATGTGTTGTCTTCTCCTCCGATCACCTTACGACGGCGGGGGGGTCATCGAGGATCGAGGGCCGACGTCCGAGCTCCTTCTCTTCCTCCTGCTCCTCAATCTCGTGCTCCTGATCCTGCGCCTCATCCTCCGGCTCCTCCTGCTCCTCCTCCGCTTCGAAGGCTGGTGGGACGCCGTTCTGCTTCCTCAGCCTCGTGTTCGGGTGGTGCGTCCTACACCAGCCTGGGTCATCGGCGAGTTTGCCATCATCAAGTGCGTGGGGCCAGTGGTAGCACCCCAGCGCCAGTTCCTAATGAGCTGAGTCCTGGGTCGGAGTCGCCGCATGCTGGATGCTATGGGGTCAGTGCTCGCATTCCAGGCAAAATGCCTGCTGAGCTGAGCCCTGGGTCAGCGTCGCCACATGGAAGCAGTGGGGTCAGTGCCAGCGCCTCAAGACCAGTGCCCACTGAGATGAGTCCTGGGTCAGCGTCACACCTTGCTGGATACCCTGGGCCATCGTTGCCACGTAGCATGGACAGCTCAGGTCCCCGCGGTTTGGTCCTGTCGATGCGGAACCCACCTTTCCACTGGCCCCAGCGGAGCTCGCCCCCTTCTGTGCCAGAAGCGGCAGGAGAGCGCCGCCGCGGGGGGGGGGCAACGACGTGTACGCTGAGAGGCAGGCCGATCCAATGACCGAGGCTGCGCCTCGGCTGCACCGTGACAGCCAGGTGGCAGCCGAGTGCCTTTCCTAACTCCGTGACGGCATAGCTGACGATGCCACGGGTAGCGAGCAGGATGAAGGCACAGGTGATTGTCAACGCTGGCAAGATTGGTGTGATGCGGCGTCAGCGGGTGGAGGACGAGGAATTCACCGCACGATAATGGTGCCTGATGCTCCGCATCCCAGTGTTGTTCGATTGGCAAGTTGTGTGTCTACCCACCCTCACGACAGAGACAACGAGGAAGTTCGCAAGTATGGGAAGCTTTGCAAGGCGAATCAACCCCGAACCAGTCGTGGCTACCTGATCGATCTGCCGCGCCACAAACCTCGGCACAGACACTACAATATGTTGCCGACAAATTCCGCCACACGATATCGGCGAGCCTCGGAAGAGTACGTCCTCGTAGCCTTCTGACGGCCTGCGAGATGCTAGGCATGCTGCCACGCCAGCTGTTTCTCATCGTGATGCCGATGCTCGTCAACCCTGACCACGGCCACCGCCTCATCATCCTGTGCCCTGGCCTGCAGAGGGTCAGCCAACGGCTACGTCGCAGAGACGTTGGCGCGATGCTAGACGTCAATGGAGTTGATGACCTGGAGTTGCTGGCCCTTCGTCGCAAGGCGGTCGAATTCTTGACGACGGCCACACGAGGCGCCAGCTTAAGAGCCAAGCTGGTCCTGCACGGTGACACCACCGTTCGCGAGGCCCTTGCCCCAACTCTCCAACGGTGCAGAATACTCTGGCAAGCTGTTACGTTCCACTCTTCCGTATTCCGCGTTGCCCCGCCCGCAGTCGGTGGACGCCTGCGTCAACCACCGCGTGGAAGGATCACGATGGCATCGAAGTCCAGCTCGTATAAGCTTCGACAGCCATGCTGGTTAGTGTGGTCCATGCCTCTGCCTGGGCCGACCATGAGATCGCGTTGGTGGAACACTTTGGGGTTCCCTGAAGAGAGTAGGGTGAACATGGATGGAGTGCGTGCCACACTGACAGGTAACATATTTCACAAATACCAGAACCAGAAATACAACGTGTGTGCCTGTACATGCAAGTGTGTGTTGTCGGAGACCCTTGCCCACGAGTGGGGATGCCGTACTGCTAAAGCTGGCCACTGAAAATGCGGTCGGCTAGACACGGTGCACCAGAGGCTCAACACATGTTGCCCCCCCCCCCCCCGCAGTTATCCAGGCCAAGAATGCGAATAACGCTCATGCGTGACAGTTCGAGGAGTGCAGAGGCTAACCCGTCTTCTGCTCTCACCTCCAGAAGGGGCGTCCGTATAGAGTCCGGCGACATTCTCCATGTGGACGCTGCCCCGGTTGCCCACGTCCTCAGCGGTGAAGGCCTCCATCTGAACACCCTCGGGCCTGAAGAAACCACGAGGTTTGCTTGTGGAAGCTCCAGTTTGCACATGGCGGTCGACGATGACAGCTCGATGCCAACCTTGCTCAGCTCCCATTCCGAAGCCACCCTCTCCGTAGTGCCTGGTACTGTGCATGGAGGTATTCCGCGACACCAGCTATGACAAAGAATTGCTTGTTCGCAGTGGCATGCCAGACTGCTGACAGAACCGCGGAGGTGCACGCTGATTGCAAGGCTGCGCTGGGTCAAAGCGCTCCCCCCGAGCATGACTAACCTCGTGCCAACAAAGCTTTGCAGGGGTATCAGCGTGACTTCGTTCACAGACTGGTTTTCGATATGGGAACCCATGCAGCATGTGATGGCCCACGGGAGCATGGACGCGATAGCTAACCTTGCGCTGGAGGAACGAGCTCCTGCGAAAGGTAACCGCGCTACCGGTGCTCACGCTAAGAGGCCATGCGACACCATGCTGAAATACAGCCTGATGTAACGGCTCGGCCAGATGCCGGATTGCTCGCATTACCCAACATGATTAAACTCGCTGCCGCGAGCCTCCCCCTGTAGCAATCCCTTGCCAAGCGGGAACGACCTTTCTTGCCCGTGTATGGTCGGTCCGCTCCTCCCCAGGGTGGCACGAGTGGGCGGAGGCTCTCGCAGTGTGAGCATTGTTTGATGATCGCCCATGAGGGCGAGAGCCAAGATGCCCTTGGATGCTCTGGGGCCCCCGATTTCGTGCAAGCCTCATTCGTTGCACGCAGGGTCATTTGCTCGTCGGTGTTGCGTCTCATGAGATCCACCCCAGAATTCCTCCAACGCGAATGCAGTCCAAACGGACCCGCTTGGAGTTTTTGTTTTCGATGTGGCTGCTGGGCCCATTGTGCCCGAAATCTCGCTGGACCCGTCCTTTGACCATCGAAGAAAAGCCTCAACGTGATCCCTAAGTGCCGCAGCGGCCTCGGAACCAGCAATCGAGTCGGGCAGAAATTCGTTTGACAAACATTGTTAGGGCCATGCGCGTTGCTCCCGAGGCAAGGAAACAAGACATGACTCGCACTGAAAGTGCGGGAGGATGTACGAGCCTGTGCAAGGGGAAGAAGC